TTACCTAGGTAGTTATATTACTTTTTACCTATAGCATACTAATATTCTATTTAATTCTACAGAATTCTATAAATGTCTATAGAATTTCCTTAGTTGTCTTCGTGATTGTTGAATAAGGACTTAAACTATTTCTAAGTGTAATCTTGATTTCTCTGAGTAACTGCCTTACTTGGATGGTGACTGACATTTAAAGCTGATTTGATTGGCCCCTTAAGTTTGAGCTGCTGGCATTGCAAAACTCAATCATATGCAGAGAATTTGCCATTCAGACTGACAGTTCTGTCAGGCAATCGGATTATCATACATGCTTCAAGTACATTATTATCTCTACATGATTGTTTTGTTTTCTTTCTTCTTGAAAACTAGTTGGAAGCTCTGGTCTCTGAAGGTAAAAAGCTAGAACATCAATCTGCCACCTCCAGTTGGCTTTAGTTTCCCTGTTGAGTTTCCATCCATGTGCGCTGAGCTGTTCCAGTCACAGCCCCAAATTCAGTGTTTTTCACTAATGTTTGTTGGAGAAAAAAGTCTATCTTCTTTGGAGAGATTGAAATGAGTAATAGTCTTTCGACACTATTGGCAAGTGGCTTTCACGGTCCATGGCAGAGCTAATGAGCTACAGCTGCCTGCTTGGAAAATTCAGCTTTCAGTTGTCTGAAAGGATCCTCAGAATGTGGACTTGAGTTTCTATGTGTATTAAAACAACAACAATGACAACAACACAATCTTGACAAACTTACAAATGTGTTATAAATTTCAGTGCAAGCTATTTTGTAACCTCTGCAACATTTTCCAGTTTCAACTACAATAATTAAAATTTTTTCCAGGTTTTGATAGAATCCTAGAAAAATGAATGAGACAATTATTTGACAAAGGCAGTTTTGCATCAGGAACTGAATTTGTGGTGTTGATACTATATGGTCAATTGTGCATTTGTATTTAAGAGCAAGAAAATTACATAAAACTGTACTTTACAGTGTGGATTATGTATATTTATCTTCTGTTCTTGGATCATCATGTTCTTTCAGCATATATAACTAGGCATTCCATATGAATAGAATGCATTGTACTGCATGAAAACATATAACAGTATGGTATACTTGTGATTCAGTGGAGAATCCAGTATGTAAGCACAATCATACTCAAGGATTAGGCTTATAATATCAGATATTTCTGTTTCTCTTTCCTGAGAATAGGAAGTGATCTTTTACAATTTTTATGTAGAAAAGTAACCAGACCATTTTGTCTAAGCTCATAGGAGACAAGTGTTCCACCTCAAGGTTGAAGGAACTTTTTTATCGGCTTAGATAATGTTATTTTATTAATTTAACTAATGTGTCAGTTTCAGGAAAGTGTTCTATTGAAATGGCTTGATTGTTATTCAGGGGGGACATTTTTATGGGCTATATAGGTGATTATTTTCCTATCAACTGTAAGAAAGCCTCAAGCAAAACATTGCCTGATTTTCTAATTTGTAAGCAAAACTGCCTTGTAACCTCTGACAGGGTACTCTGTTATAGTGTTTTTGAAGAGAAGGCTATTATTGCTCTTGAGAAAGAGGATGCAGGTAAAAAGAAGTATGGAGAAAAGTCATTCAATAGCATTCTATAGATGTGGAGTCACTGCTGGACACTATAATAGATATAACTATAAAATGAGCAAATGAAGGTTGTCTACAAAGTGTGAACTTTCTACATTTGCAAGTAGAGACAAGTTCTTTGGTTTTAATATGCGAATCTTGGTACAAGAACACATGAATTTGATATAGCTCTTGTGGTGCTTGGAATGATTTAGGGCATATAGAGAATATACATGCACAGTGCAGAACAAGGGTAATAAAACAGGAGCTCCTAAAACAGAATGAGAACATTTCCCTTATCTGTATTTACTTTCTAGTAAGGAGCGTTTGATATTAGCATCAGAATTATATTCTATATTCATAATTTATGGAGTAAGTTTTTTGAATTTTATATAGTATTTATATTAGTAGAGTAGTAAACTACAAAACAAAATTTAAAGGCATAGAAAATTATGACATTTCCAAGAACGAATATATAAAAATCTAAAGTAGATAGAATAAAAAAGAGGGAAATAATAGGAATAAGGAAGGGATCTTCACTAAGATCATATTGCATAAGATCTCTTATTTTTATTCTTCATTTAATACGGATATTTAACCAGATTCTCCTCTCACTGAATTTATTCATTTAAAATGTAAAATTTACTCATTTAAAATGTACAATGCAATGATTTTTGTCTATTCAGAGTTATGTATCTATGTATGTAACTATCATAATCAACACTTTTATTATACCAAAAAGAAACCTCATATTCATGAGCAGTCACTGTATATTCTCCCCCCAATACCCCACGACTAGCCAACCACTGATCTTTGTGATGCAAGTTTTAAAAGTTGTTGATTTGAAATTCCCTGCTGCCTCCCAAGGACATTCTACTTCAAACCATTTGATTGATTATACAGGCACAATCAGAAAGCCATAACTATTCTCTTTGTTGATACAAGTCTCATAAATCAAAGGGAGTGACATATAACTGTATTCTTAGATATATCTAATTATATATAACTTCTTAAACATGATTTTCAAAAGGTTGTTTTTATCATAGATATAGAACCATTAAATATACCCCCTCCCTCACCCTTGACTCTGATCCTTAACTTAAAGATTCAGAATATTGATCTTGTCTGAGTCTTGGAGTTTTTGGACTAAGAGATTCTGACTCATTCTGACAGCATTCACAAGGCAGTAATGTATAACTCAGAAAACAAATCATTCAACATAATGTAAAACGCATCTGCTCATGAGAGTAGACGTTGCATCCTCTAAACAGCACATTCTCTTCCTATAAGTAAGGGCAAGCTAAAATGTTATCAGTGAATTATCTTGTACATGTGTAACCAATTATAATGGTTCAAACACTGAGTAGCTCCTTTGTTTTTTAGTCAGTGAAAGGCAGAATAATGCCCACCCCCCATGTGTATGTTCTGATCTTCAGAATCTGTTACCTTACATAAGAAAAAGAACTTTGTAGATGCAATTAACTTAGGGAGTTTGAGATGGTGAGCTATGGTGCATTACTTGAGTGTGCCCAATCTAATCATGCGGATCCTCAAAATTGGAGAACCTTTTTGTGGTGAGAAGAGATAAAACTATGGAGGAACCAGAGAGACAGAGCAGCATGAAGAGGAATTGACTAACCATTTCTGGCTTTGTAGATGTAGGAAGGAGCCATGAGCCAAGGAATTCTGGTGGCCTCTAGAAGCTGGAAAAGGGAAAGTAGTAGAGTGTACTCTACAACCTTCAGAAAGGAATGACTGCTCGCTTAATACGTTGATCTCAATCCAGTGAGATTCATTTTAGTCTTCTAACTTATAAAACTGTAAGAGAATAGATTTGCAATGTTTTAAGTCAACAAGTTTGTGGTAATTTGTATGTCAGCAGAATACTAATATATAGACCTCAAAATTTCTTCCTGAATGGACCCAGTTAGTGAGCCTTGGGCAAGCACTCTCTCTTAGAACAGTGCATGAATGTGTCTTACCTATGTTTGTCTTAGAGCATTTTCTTTAATGAGTTCTATCTTTTAAAACACATTTAATAAGAACAAGGAATTTAGAGCTAGGTTTCTAGCTTTGCTATTTCACTGGCTTTGTGTCTTAGGTAGATTACTTAATATTCTGAGCCTTGTTTTATCATGAAAAAATGTGGTACTGACAATACTTACCCTTTCAGGGTTGTTTTGAGGATACCATGAGGAATATATCAACTGATGGCACAGTTTGATATGTAGTAAGCACCTAATAAATGATAGCTGCTATTATTATCTTTTAAAAGCTAAAAATGGAGTTTACCAATGGCATGCATTCTAACCCTGGCTTAGATATAAACATGTTAAAAACTATTTATTGTCTTTAGCATTCTGTTCCATGGAATTTTCTTCATAACCCATTGGCTACTGATATTGGGTCTTTTCACCAAAAGGCTTATTTTTTAAAGCTTTAATGGTTAGGTTGGAACTACCTTTGATTTATGGTGCAATATATAATGCCTTTTGATATTTCCTTTCTTTAAGTCTGTGTAAAACAAATCGTATTAAGGAAAACCTGGAATTCTGTCTCTATAATTTAAAAAAATTATAATTACTAGAAATTGTTTCTTCAGTTTTAAAATCCCCAATGCCTGGAGAATGGCAGACACATAATAGGCAGCTATAAATATTTGACTGAACTAAACTGAGTTCTAAGCAGTTATTCTTTCACAACCTATTTTGCCTGTTGTTACTACTCTAATTTTGGGCCTTAGTTTTGTGCCTAACTTATTACAGCACTTTCTTTTTTTAAAAAAAAATTTGTTTTAATTAGTTATACATGACAGTAGAATGCATTTATGCACTTTGATATATCACACATAGATGAGATATAATTTCTCATTTTTCTGAGTGTACATGTTATAGAATCATATTGGTCAAGCAGTCACATATATACATAAAGTAATAATGTCTATTTCATTCTACTGTCTTTCCTATCTCCACATCTACTCCCCTTACCTCTCTTAACTTCCTTCTACCGAATCTAAGGTAATGCTATTATTCTCTAGTGCCCCCCACGCCCCGCTTTATTGTGAATTAGCATCCGCATATTAGAGAAAACATTTGGCCTTTGGTTTTTTGGGATTGGCTTATTTCGCTTAGCATGACATTCTCCAACTCCATTCATTTACTGGAAATGTCATCATTTTACTCTTCTTTAAAGCTGAGTAATATTCCATTGAATATATACACCACATTTTCTTTATCCATTTGTCTATTGAAGGACACCTAGGTTGGTTCCGTAGTTTAGCTACTGTGAATTGAGTTGCTATAAACATTGACATGGCTGCATTACTGAAATATGCTGATTTTAAGTCCTTTGGGTATAAACCAAGGAGTGGGATAGCTGGGTCAAATGGAGCTTCCATTCCAAGTTTTCTGAGGAATCTCCATACTGCTTTCCATAGTGGTTGCACCAGTTTGCAGTTCTACCAGCAATGTATGAATGTACCTTTACCCTCACATCCTTGCCAACATTTATTGTTGCCTTACAGCACTTACTTAACTACTCTTTTGCCACTTGTCTTTCCTCTCTTTGATCTTCCACAATGCCACCAGATTAGGCAAAGACATTGTATATCATTTTCTCTCCCACTTAGTTTTCTTTGTCTCATTGCATAATAGCCATATTATTTAACCCATTGTTTCACAACTTTTTATGGCATTTTATGTTTAGAAAATTATGTTTGAATGGCACACAGAGGGAGTAGGCCAGCCATCTATAGCTAGAGGATTTATACCCCAAGGGCTGAGAGGCTCACAATTCTTAGTACATTGGTCACTTAATTTAGGCACACCGATATGCCTTGGCATACCCATTGGAAAGCTCTACTTAATGTAGAATTTGAAAATGTTTTTGATTAGAATTTATCCTATCTTTTAGATCTTAATGAGTACATATTGTGTGCTTTCTAAACTCCAAGGAAAGAAATTCTCTTAGAGGAACTATTCTCTTACAAGAACCTGTCTCCAGGCAGACAGATCTGGGTACTGGCTTTCACATGGGCTCTTTGTAATCCTTTCATACCTCTTCTTATTTCTATTGTTTTGAATAACATTTGTTTTCTCATCATCTGTCTGAATCTTCATGCTGTCTTCTCCATGATGCTTTCCCTAATACAGTTAAAATATGGCATTTTTATGTATTTTGTTTCAATTTCATGACAACATAAGCTTGTTCTGTTTCTTCCCCTCTGTAAAGCCTGGATTTCTTTTTTAACTGACATATACAAACATAAAAATTATACAGATTGGATTCTTTATATTCTAATTCAGTTAGTTTTATATTTGTCAAGTTTTTCTTTATACATCTTTCTATTATTCCTATCATATTTGTAACTATTGACCAAAATATTTACCCTGTTTCATCTTCCTACAAATTTATAACATACAAATTCAGAGAAATATCTAATGCTATACAGCAATTATAGACTAATATTCATCAGGCAGATACATTGTCAAGTCATAAGCAAATGTTTTCTAAGGGCTCATACTTAGTTCACATTCATTCTAATAGCTTTACATATATTTGATATAGTTGATCTTCAGAACAGCTCTGTAATAATAGTGTTTTATCTACATTTTACAAATGAAGAAACTGAGGCATACTAAAGTAGCTTGCTAAAAGTTGTGTAGTGATTAAGAGTGGCCTGATTGAAATATTATCAGTTAATTCAGGTGGTTTTGACAGTGAGCTCAGCATGCTGACAGCCATTCTGTTACACTGTGCTGTGAAAAACACAGTTATATATGGATGAACAAACCAGTAAATGCTAATATTCCTTCTGAAGTGAGATATATTATATAGGATTGAAAGAAGTTTTAGTCCTAAGGAATGTAGGATGTAGTCAAAGGTATGATAATATACAATCGACAAGTGACCAGTATCTTAAAAATCAAAAGTTAATAAGAAGCCAGGCATGGTTGTGCATGCATGTAATTTCAGCTACTTGGGAGACTGAAGCAGGAGGATTGTGAGTTTAGGGACAGCCAGGTAGTATACCGGGAACTCTGTTCCATAAATAAATACAGAAAGAATACTATTTGTGTAGTGTGTGTTATGTGAGCTAAACAAATGAACCTGATACTTTACATATGTTATCTCATTGAAGCCTTACAATAAGGCTCTTGAGTAAGTAGCATTATCCCTATTTTATAGATAAGAGAAAGTAATCACAAATATATTACGTGACTTACCCAAGACTTACTAAGCTAGGAAATTGGCAAGGCCAAAGCTAAAGCCGGGTCATTTTTGCCTTGTTTTGTTTTCATTGTCCTGTAGGGCCTCTCTGATAATTGAGTGCCCTGGCAGAAAGGCAGGGGGGATAGGCAGCAAGCTATGTATTGCAAAAATGTAGTTAGATTTGTGCATAATTTTAGCAGATAGCATTGTGGTAATGCTGATTTGCCCTTCAAATTAGAGTCTGAGAAAAGAGAATAGCCAATATTCTGGGATAAACCCAGTAAAAGCAGTATTCACTGTTGCTAAATCATTATTGTGACATGAGTCTTTTTCTCCTTTTGTAGTTCAATGTGTCTATGGTTAATAGGTATCTATGTACATCCAGAGATGTTTTATGATGCTAGGAGTAGGGTCTGGTCTGGACTCTGAAAGTAAACAGTGTAATGGAAACAGTGTTTTTAGTTCTTAGTCTGAACGTTGACATTTGACACCACCAGGTTTTTCCTTTATAGAATCACACTTTGGCTTTGCTTTGTCTCTCTCTCTTTTTTCCTTTTGACACTGACAGAGATTTGTTCTTAGAGAACTCACTCTGAAGATGACAACTCTTCCTTGTATCTCAATGGCTTAGGCTCCACATACGGTTTCTTCTCTGTCTTTAATTAAACTTGTTTTTTTCAGTGTTGTAGCTGGGAGCACTGTGTTGACACAACTCACTCTTGTACAGAACAGATTAAAATGTCAGTGTTCTAATGTTCTCATCTGTGGGAAAAAGAAAATATTTGGGGTATTTTATTTATAACTTTTAAAAGATTCCTCTGTGGAGAAAGATTACTTGTAAAATGGCAAACCATTTGACAGTTAAAGGGACAGAACTCTATTTAATAGTAGTCTAATGAAAAAAGGAGAGAAAGTATGAAAGCTTACCAAAACAGTTTTTCTAGGAATTTAGAACATACCTTTCTAGTCCTTCTTAATTTACTTCATTGTATTTTTTCAAATTTGATAGTGTTCTGCTTAATCCTCCCAGATGCTGTGTTTACAGAATATTGACATTTTCCACAAAAGGCAGTTGGTCATTTTAGTAAACACATACATAATGTGGACGAGAACTACTAGAGAAGGGAAATAGTGCATTAAATCTTTAGCCTTCAAATTCCAGCTATTTATTAAATAGGCCAGCAAATTCAGTATACCATAGTTTGACCCTTTTCCAGTTATCAGGTATTCACAGGGTGTAAGCCACATGAGTTAGCCCTTGGTGCATGCAAATTTTAGAAGTCATAGTAAAGAGATGTGCTTATTACAAATTGCTAAGTTACAGACTTAACAGGAACTAAGATTTATGAGTCACTTACAATGTCACTGGAATATTTTTATAATTATATATATTGACTATCTAATTCTTATAACTCTATGAGTAGATAATAGCTCTGTTTTCTCTGTGGGGAAACTGAGGCCTATTCATGTGAAGTAACTTGACCAAGACATCATTGAAAGTGGAGAATCAGGATTTGAATCCCGGGGGTTTGGTTCTGTAGCTTTATTCTATTAGAGTTTCTGAGGGTTTATTCACATATAATATTGTACATTTCGGAGACCTTACTCTGATATTGTTAATCAATATGTAATATTGTGTAGATGAAGAAGATATATATTAAAATGAAAAGGAAAATCCTTCCTTATGTTCAGATGGTAGGTGGTGGCTAGGCTCACTTCCTAATCCATTTTGGATATATCTGAATTGACAAAAGAATTATTAATTGTACTGCTCTGCCCATATAAAAAGCAAAAGTTAGCTTTCTAGAAAGTCATACATTAGCATGCTTAGTGCCCACTTCATATTCCTGGGTTTGGAAGTTAGTGGCCTTTAGTAGAGCATCTGCCTTTCAGACCTTATTTAGAGATTTGCCTGGTTTGAGGTGTCCCTTGGGTTAACAGCTGTGGAATCTACATTTCTTTGGTATTGCTTCCTTCTATGTATATTACAGATTCCTTAATGCCCTTTTGGACTGCTTGTGTAAAAGAAGGAAAGAGAAAAAATGCTTTTTTTTTTCTTTTTAAATGGATTTATCCTAGGAGGAAATATATTTACTGAATTTTCCCCTTTATGTTTCCCTTCAATCTTGGAAACTACTCCCTGCAGCCCTGCTGCTATGGGATCAATTTGTTGGCAAGGGTTATTCAAACATGAGCAGAATTTGTGTCCTCTTTAGATTAAAGTGCTAACGCCAACAATAACAATTTTCATATGGGAACTGGTGCTTGATATCCAAGTCTACTTGGTGGTCTATAAGTTACTCTAGATTAAAAATATGCATTTGAGGGAAGATGGGATTTTCCCAGGTTTTGTTTGTTTGTTTGTTTCCATTTTCAATCTTTTTTCACCTGTCATTTTAAAATAGAAGTTGTCCAGAGGTATTTTTTGCCTTTTGATTTGGGAGTGGGAGATTGAATACTTGGAATGAGACATAGGATTCTTTTTTAGATGAATATATTAAGGCATAACTTAACAAACAATTTACTAAACAAATTTGAAGTACATAGCTTAATGAATTTTTTAATTAAAAAACTTTGGAGGTGCTAGGGATCAAACTCAGGACCTCACAGGTGATAAAGCTTGGTGTTTTGAACATATGTATCCTCAGTTCTTTTTTCTGCACTTCCATTTTATTTAACTTCTACTTTTTTAACCCCTATTTTATTTAACTTCTACTTTTTTTTAACCCCTTATGGCTAGAAAGAAAGATCACATACTCTTGAAGACTGCTACTTAGTTTGAATTTTTGAACTTTAGTCTGAATGACACCGTTAGTATTTTACGCCAGTTTTCTCTGTGTTCCCCAGTCAGCTTCTTCCATTCTCTTGATAGTTACGTTAAGCTTTTGTCACCATCTTCAGAGCTGCTTTCTTACTATTTCCATATTAGCTTTAAGGAGGTGACTTACAGCCTCCTACTTCACCAAGAGAGCAGAGGCAATCAGGAGGGAACTCTGTTTCCTCCTTCTACCCCTCTCATCACTCCCAGTACTTAGGAAGAGTTTTCATAAATATTCCTTTTCTCTCACTGTCTAAAGCTGTGCTTTCATCCGCTTCCCTCTCCTTAGTGAATGACATCATTTTATTTCTTTTGCCCTTTAGCCTCCGAATTGTCTTTTTCTTCTCAATATTCATGCATGATTGAGACTTCTTAACTTAAAAAATGAAACAATACAAGGTTTACCCTTTATTCTGTGCCACCCTCTACCTGTTCCTCTCACCTCAAAGGCATGCTTCTCTACTCTTTTTTTTTTTTCCAGTTGTACACCATACCTTTATTTTGTTTATTTATTTTTATGTGGTGCTGAGGATCGAACCCAGGGCCTCGAATGTGCTAGGCCAGCGCTCTACCACTGAGCCACAACCCCAGCCCTGCTTCTCCACTCTTGTTGCTGTTTCTCACTTCCTCATCTCTCATTTGCTCCTCCTCAATTGTGGGTTGGATTTTCCCTCTGCTTTTTCCATTGAAATTTTTGTCCAAATACCTAGTGATTTTTGTTAAATCCAGGAAATACTTTTTTTTTTTTGTCCTTTTTGAAATTCCCTCCTGGATGCATTTCTGTGATTTTTCTCTTCTTCCTTTGTAATCCCTCCTCAGACTCTTTCTGTGAGTTTCAATGACCTGCCCATCCTGTGTATATGGGAATTACATGGGAACATTCCAAGATGCTGTCTTTGTCTGGTTTTCCAACTCCCCCTCCCCCTCCCCCCCTTCCCCTCCCCCCTCTTCCTCCTTCTCCCCCTCCTCCTCTTTCTTTTTTGAACAATTTGGTCCTCTACACAAGATTCTAGTTTCTGCCTGTTCCTCCTCCTGATGCTTACTATTGTATTCCAAACCTTTCTCTTGATCCCAGACTTCATAAAACTTTCTGACAGTTGTGTTTAGATGTGTCATAGGAATGTGTGTGTATATATATATATATATATATATATATATAAAACTGACATCATTATCTTTCCTCAGCAGGTCCCTTCTCCATACTAAATTTGCTTTTCAGTCATCCTTGGGTTACCACAGTGATCCCCTAATGGCTTTTCTTTCACCATTTGCATGATTTCTCCCTAAATCTATTATTTGCATTGATGTGCCAGCAGTCTTTTATTTACAGTGTGATCATGTCCTTCACAGGTTTAGATCTTTCAGTACTCCCCAGTGTTGAGAGTGACAGCCCAAGGGGCCCCAGCAAACTTCCAGCTGCCAGCTGATGATTGGCTCACAGCGGCTCCAGCAACTTCTGGCTGATTGGCTCCTCTGCTGGTGATGCTCATTGGGCTGTTTCCCCGCCCTTTCAGACTAGGGAGCTGCTCATTGGGGGACTTTTTTGGCTCCGCCCACACGACCCAGTCAATCGGCCTCAAAAGCAGGAGGAGTGGGGGAGGTTGAGAGACTTGTGAGAAGCCGGTGGTGGCAGTTGGGCTCTGAGGGTTTTTCCTCAGGAGCTGTGTGGTGCCCTGTGTGGTTCTAAAAATAAAGTTCCTTTCTTTTGACAAGTGGCTCCTGAATTGTGCCCAGCCAGACTGCGGACCAGTGCTTTAGAAATGTAAATCCTTAGCATGGTTCCTGGTCCCTTGGTGTGCTGGCTCTGCCTCTTGCCTCACCTCCTTGTTATCAATGTTGTTATTTTAATGGTTTTATTGAGACATAATTCATATGACATATAATTCATCCCTTTAAAGTGTATGATTCCACTTTTTTAGTATATTCACAGAATTGTCTAACTATCATTAGAGTCCATTTTAGAACACTTCTTCAGCCCAGAAAGAAGCCCCATACCCACTAGGCATCACTGCCTACCTTGCCTCACCTTGCCTGGAGATAACTATCATCTGCTTTTGTGATTCTCTAAGATTCGTTTATTCTGGGCACTTACATATAAGTAGAATCATACAATGTGTGTTGTTTTGTGACTGGTTTCTTTCATTTAGTATCTTTCATTTCAGGACTCATCCATACTGTAGCATGTATCAGTATTTCTTTTTTATGACCATATAATTCATTATATGAACATAACACATTTTATTATTCATCATTTATTGGACATTTGGGTAGTTTATGCTTTTTGGGCTATTATGAATAATATGGCTATGAAAATTCATGTAATGGTTTATGTGTGGATATACATTTTTGTTTTTCTCTTCAGTATATACCCAGGAGTGGAATTTCTGAGCCATATGCTTACTGTGTTTACTTTTAAGGAACTGCTGGGCTTTTATTTATTTATTTTTTTAAACAAAGCAGCTGTACCATTTAAAATTCATACCAACAATATATGAGGGTTCCAATTACCCTATGGCCTGGACAATACTCATTGTCTGGATTTGTTTTTTGTTTTTTGTGTTTTATAGTAAATACTAAAGGATGTGCAGTAGCATACTGTGGTAGTTTTGATTTGCTTTTCAGTATGGCTCAGCATGTTGAGCATATTCTTATGTGTTTGTTGGCATTTTTATTATCTGCTTTGATAGAAAAAGTTGTTTAGGTTACATTAATCATCTTTATTATTGAGTTGTACTAGTTCTTTATGTAATTTGCAAATATTTTCTACACTTTTTTGGAGTTGTCTTTTTTCTTTCTTGATAATGTCTTTTAAAGCATAACATTTAAAAAAATTTGATGAATCCTAAATATCTCTATATATTTTTGTCTCATGTACTTTTGGTGTCATAGTTAAGAAACCATTGCAAAATCTAAAGTTATAAATTTACCCTTACATTTTTTTTAA